GCTTTATTTCTCATGGTCCGCCACAAACCTCTGGTGGCTCGTCAATGGTACCGTGACCTCACGGAGAAGAGCGACTACGCTCCGACTCCTCTGCCTGTAGATATCAAGCATTGTCTCCAAAGGCAAACTTCGTTAATCAACCCGGCCATCCTGTGCAAACTATGAAAGTCCATCTCTGGTCTCCTGCTGCATTTATAGTGGATTCCTAGTCGATTTGGTTATAGTGCCGAGTTTTTGTCATCGTTTTAGCTATCTTTCTCTCTCTCTATTCCTGTCACCGCCAGGCCCCCAAAGTTGTGCATGTTTCTTCCAGCAGACTGCGCCAACTAACAACGTCTTCTCTCGAGTTCTCAATGTTCTTCACCCACTTATTCCTCGCAATCCCTTTTCTGATGGTTAACGATAACTCCTTGGTCAACGAGTCTCATTTTTGCTGATTTCCTATATCCACGTTTTCTCCGAGTTTACTCAAGCTATAGGCGAGTTGTAGCTTGGCGTTGAGACTGACTCAGCTAGCTTTCCGACGAAAAATCTGGGAATGTGCCAAGTTCAATTATTATGACTTCTATGGCAGAAGACTTCGAACAATTTGCGTTCAAAAGATCTTGATGATAGCACAAGTAAGTTGTGAAAAAGAGGTAAAACGACTTCTATAGAACAAAAGGAGCCTGCCTTCATAGCAGAGGCCACAATATCTCGGCATCCATACCTACAATTAGGCCAATAAATCCAATGCATTGATTAACTTTCTGGTAGATTTAGCTAACCAATATCATCCCATCTCGCTCCTTTATCTATCACACCTTCTTATTCAGCTAGTCTGAGCTATGTTGTTCTAAGGCTGGAAAGTATCAGGACTATAATGACAAAGACGCAGTACAAAGAAAGTGCTTTAATGTTGTCTAGGTAGCAGGGCCAAATTGTGGAGACTAAAGGGGACTGCGAAATCTTGACTTCCATGCTGACAAGAAGGCTTGTCTTTATTTATGGCTTCCTTTTTGTGTACAACTTCAAACTTTGATTTTGTGGCTGGAAAGAGCCTGCAAAAGGCCTGCAAAAAACACACTCGGTATGCAGATGTGTTTGGCGGAGGCTGGGGACATTAGGGTCATCGACAGTCTGAATTAAGATAACGTTCTGTATGTAGGAAATGCAGATAAGAGTCATGCACAAAATAGGTAGGCGAAAATATTAATTCTGTAAATTCTTGTTGGGAGAAAATATATGATGCTATATATTGACATTGAAAAGAGTTGTTTCGAGATAATCAGGACCATCGTTGCTGAGGTGCACCAGTTTATACAAGTTTATTTTTAATTAATAGTGATTCTGCAAGTGAGGAAGTGAAAAGAACGCCTGACTTTTGTGTGGCATGGAACTTCATTGTTTCTCCAACGGGTTGTTCTCAATTGGAATGGGAATGGTATGCTGGGAGGCATTGGGCAAAACAAAGGCTTCTTTTTAAGTCTACATGAAAAGATTACTTCAGTGTTAAATAAGCACAAGAAATTTGTGCACACGAACATGATAAAGTTGCTAGATAAGAAAATGGCAGCGAACGAGCATTAGATCAACTCAGAGATAGGATAGCAAGAAGAGTTATTTTCTTTAAAATTATAATATGACTATCTGCACGGGTATTCAAGCACGTCGTCTCATGATAAGTGGACCGAACGAAAATAATTAAAAATAATTAATGTGGCATTCGCCATTCTGCTTCCAAATTCAGTCACAAATATACAAATATTTATTTAGACGTCAGTAAAGCGAGAATAATTGCATTCAAGCAACAATTCTATGCCCATGAAGAATTTTAGAGTCAAATTAGGCTTCATATTAATGGAAGTTATTTGATCTTGGTTTCGCAACTTGGTCATATTAGCAGGAAGACCTAGAGGAACCCACTTTGTCCAGAGTCCATAGCATGCATGATCGTTTTCAGAGTCGGACCATGGACTTGGCACATTCCCAAACGTTTCGCCGGCATCGTCAGTGAGTCTTGCCAGTCTCAGTAACCGAGATACAACTCGTCAAAGAGACAAGTTAAGTCAATCCACTGACCAACTTTTTGTCGAGGCGGTTATGCTATCACTCCTCGTTTTGTCCTAGTCGCTCTATCTTTCCGGTCTCGCCCTCATCCTATCACGTCTGACATGTTTCTATTTCACAAGAGCTAATTGCAGAGCCTGTTGTTCCGCTTACAGCGATATTTGAGAACGGCGACAATACATCAAAACTTATGAGCAAATTCCCGCTTTCTGCTTAGTACCTTAACAAAAAGACGTGGCTTCCTGATTTCAAACCGCTAGGTTTCGGGGATTATCTCTAATTGGGGAAAAAATCATGCTGTCGAATGCATCACGCAACCATAACTAATCATCATAATTCCAAGTAGTACTCTCTACGAAACTAAATGGAGATAAGTACGAAAAAAATTTTAATCAGGCATAGTGCGAGTAAATTAACATAACACCAATGAGCAAAATTGTCCCTCTGGTAATGGAAGGCGAAAGCAGAAACCCCTGGCCGGCACAAGAAAAATCACCAATTATCAATTTTGTAGAGTCTAAGTCCTAGCCAGAATCGCCTACAGAATCAACAGACAGCTTGCAAAAAAATGGAAAAAGCAATGTCTTAATTAGGTTAATTAATAACCAAGAAAATATGGAGTCATAGATATCAATGAGGATAGTAAGATAATGGTATTGAAGTACGAAAAGACGACAGAACAGTACCATAAACTAAGAACAGATTTGGGGAAAATAACTAATCAACATATTAAGGTATGCCAATGATGGTGTGGCCTAAATTTTGTTCCTTCAGTGTCTCCAAGTAGTCTGAACTCGTTTTCGCGACTTGGTCACCTTGTCAGAGGGACCTAGCTAGACGCACCTTGTCGAGGTCCTCTGCATGAGTAGTTATGATAATTCACAGCGATGAACCGTGGACTTGAAATATCCCCAAACACTTACGAAACGTAATCAGCATCGTCGGTGAGGCTTGCCATTCTTAGCACCGAACCACACCTCGACAATTATACAACCTAAGACAATCCGTCGACCAACTTTTAGCCGAACGGTTATCACTACTTCTGTCTTGGTATATCCACCTAACCCCTAGCCTGGTATTTTAATCCCTCCCTCTCACAACTTATGAGATATTTATATTATATTCCTTTAGAGATGTGCTCTTTCTGGCGAGTTTAGTCGGACGTTATCACACCTTTGGAAACAAATTTAATGAATAGATCGAAAGAATGCAGAGTTAGCGATAACTTTTTCCATTACCTAATGGAAGTCAGAGCAAACAAGGATAAGGCAAGACTAATAAAAAGGATATCTTGTATCAATTAGCTATCGGTAAGCAGAGGGAAAAAGATCGCAAAGAAGTAACGTGAGGAAAATTCGGAAACCAATCGAAGAGATTATCAGTGAGGATAGCCTGCTCAAAGAAACAACTACAACTTCGGAGGCCTGGCAGTTACAGAACTAGTAAGACGTATAATCAGACGTAGTAATATCGTTAAATTATAGGTTCCAATAACAAATTTAAATAAGCTTATAAGAAATGGTATAAAGTAAAGCAAAATTAAAATACGAGGAGCCACTAGGAGCTAGCATTAAAGTGATGACATTTATTTCGTGTGAAAGAAACTGATGTAGAAATTTATAGATCGATCTTACCATAAAATAATGCCTGATTATCGTTGTTCTGCCGTCCTTTGACTTAACTACGACGTCTATGCTGATGCAGTCCACGAAACATCCTCCTTATGTAAGGATCGAATCGAACTGAAGCTTCGTTCGTTAGGTAAGAGACATTTGCAAAGCTGAGGAATATTCTTCCAAAAACTTCGAGTGAATACTAAGTCAAGAAGGCGAATTAAAAAAAAGTTTAAGTGACCCAGCGATAACTCGAAGCTTTCGTAATAATAACATTGTCTGTTAAGTGACCTTGGAAAGCTTTCCCCTCTTCACTCGAACCGAATTAGGGTGCTTCGCGGACTACGTGAAAATGACTGTAAAAGAATTGGAAATAGCAGTCATCCTCTCGTAAGATAGATCTAAGGATCTCCTCATTATGTACTTTCACACAGGATCTAAGTAACTATAGCATATTAAACCGTCCAATTCATAATAAAATAAAAAAATAATAAAGTGATATGAATAAAGAAAATATATGAAAGCCTTTTCGTGAAATATTCAATAGCTGAATAAATAAGAGAGTAACCTAGGAAATCAAATTAATATTTTTAGATGGCAAAGTATTTTCCACTGGGTAGAGTAAAGGTACAGAGGGTTCCCCTTACTAGACCATCGCGTTGGTTTATTCATGTGAATCATGGTGAAAAGTAAGGAAAGGGTAGAAGTAATGACAGTATAAAAATGGAAAAACGCGAACTGAACGCGAGCATTTGAGCCTGAGATTAATAGATATTTTTGTTTATCCTTTATTTGTTGCCAACAAACAGAACAACAAAGGAAAAATTAAGACACCAAGTTAGCAGAATGAAGCAGAAAATCGGACTAAGTGCATGGCAAATATTTGTACAAAGTTAGCTGAACACATGATGAAAAAATGTGATTGTAATCCGATATTTAAATCGTTGAAATTTGAAGAAAGAGTACTCCCACTCGCCAAGACTATAAATAATAGCTCTTATGTACAAAAATTTGATATAGTTATGAAGAATGAGAAAACGTTCAAAAGTAGCCCAAGGCCAGATCATTTTAACAACCAAATATCTGCTGTTTAAGGACGAGAATTTTCATTCATATTTTCATAGTAGAGACAATTAAGTCTATACTATCGATAAAAACAAAAAAACGTCAAAAAGCCAAAACCATTTTTTTCTAATATTACAGATAGGCATAGTCAATAAGAGGTCAAGAACATGAAAAATGAAGACAGAGCAGCATGATCCGGGTAGGAATGCGAAGTAATGAACCAAACACGGCTCGAGCTAGAAAGTTAAAAATGAGAGGGCGGATAAAATAGCTTTAAATAGCTAGTTTGAAGTTTACTGGATCAACCATCTCCCCAGGCATGCGGGCCACTTCCTCTAACAGCCGTACTTTCTTATCAACAGCACGATCGGAATGGACTTCATAGAGAACCGCCAAATTAAGGACAAACGGATTTGGAGGTGAATGAACAGCCGACAACGGGTCGGAGCCCTGAAGGGATCTCCCTGCTTCTTTTGGGAGACGTGAGTTAGAGTCTGGCAAGCAAACAGACTCAAGCAAACAAAGCGCCTCCGTCAAGTTGCCGAGATAGAGAGAGACTACGGCAAGATTGTTCGTGACCTAGAAAGAAGCAAACCAAAAAGAAAGACAAAGGCTCTTTAAGACTAAAATATTTCGACTGACATTTAGAACAAGCTATACTGGCATATTGTTAGAGGGACCTTTATTTCGAATGAAAGTGCATGAAGTAGAGATTCTTTGGTCGATCTCACTAGATGAGGACGGATGAAACTCGTTGTACTGCAGCCTTTGGCTTTTATATGTTATTCATGTTGACGCAGTCCACGAGTATTCCTCCCTCGTTTAGGGTGAAAACGCGCTCAGCTTTCGTCCATCATCAAAGCTGGGTGTCATTCTTGTAAAAGTATCACGTTAACACTAAAGTAAGAACACTATCCGGCTCTAATTTACTTCTTATATAGACACAATCGAGCCAAAATATAAAAAAATATAAAACTAGATAGATAGGTATAGAGTGGTTTAGTTAATTTTCTTTCATTCTGGTTCTGTTATTTTTGCTCGATTGTATGAATATGTATATTTGTGCGTGTCAGCGTCTATATGCAATACGGTTCCTAAATTAGACGTGTCAAAGGTTAAATCTCGGATTCTGATCCTCAAGACCTAATAGCCCAAGAGAAAATCTTTGACCGAGACTGCCTAGGTCCGTAAATAAGTATGGTTGAAATAATGACATATGAGCTTGTAAGCATGAAAGTCAAGTTACGAAACCACTTATCCTGACCTTTTCAGTATGGGATCATTAACGTTTGACCACCCAAGTAAAGGCAAGACTGCGATTACGTAATTTTGCACGTCTGGTTTTGGTTGATGAGCTTACTCTATTAACCCCAGACATACCATAATCAGTAAACCTATTAGTTTGAGACCATTTAATCTCTTGTCTAGTTTTTACCATGTGTTCGACCACTTCTGACCGTTGGATCCAGCTTTATTTGCAAGCATTTTTGTGTTCTGCCAATCTTTGTCGAATAGGTCGGCATGTCTCACCAACATAACATCGACCACATGAGCAAAGAATCTTGTATCAATCTTTGTCGAATAGGTCGGCATGTCTCACCAACATAACATCGACCACATGAGCAAAGAATCTTGTAGCAGCCCGATCTCGATAATGGATGATATTTCTCTCTAAAAGATGGCATAGCAGAAAAAAGTGTGAGGATTTCTTTGAACACTGTCTTTATCCCCCACTTTTTTACTAATTAGCCTATCTTTTTTGAAAGAAGGCATGACGGCAAAATTAGGACATAGGAAAAGGTTTCAGTCTGTCTACCTTTCACTAAATGGTCTCTGTCTGAAAATCTATTCATCAATAGAGAGATATTATCCTCAATAAGGCCCAAAGGATAATTATTTTACAGAAAAATATTTGTCAGCCGTTGCAATCCTTTAGTCAAATGTTTGCTATCGGCTAGCCTCATACTTCTAATAATCATTGACTTCAAAATTCCAACCTTAGTCTTGTAACTATGGTTGGAAAGAAAATTAAGCAAAGAGCCAACATATGTTGGCTTCCTATAGACATCTCTTCCTAACTTACCCTCTTCTCTAATGATGAGAACATCCAGAATAGATAAGGACTTATTCTCTTCCATTTTCATTCGGAACTTACCTATCCTATTACGCTGGTTGGGGAAAGTAAGAAACTATCTAAACTTTCCTTACCATAAGGCCAGAGGACAAAATAGTCATCCACGTATATGACCAAAGGTTTGGGGGTTAGTATTGACTCTTGCAGGAAGTGTTCCTCCAATCTTGTCATATAATTGTTCGCTAAGATGAAGGACAGGCAAGATTCCATCGCTAATCCTTGCGTTTGTTCGTATAACTTACCGTCAAAGGTAAAATATGTGGTACTCATGCATATATTTATAAGTCTAAGAATGGAAGCAACTCTCAGCCTTATGTCTTGTGTTATCTCTGGTTGTTCTTCCAGAGTTTGTATCAGAGCTTGAATAGCTCCTTGCACAGGAATGTTTGTGCACATAGACATAACATCAAAGCTTATTAGCTTATCCTCTTCAAAAATTGTCTGCTAATCTAGCAATTTCATAAAATCATACGAATTTTTAACTGAATATTACTAATAATTGACAGAGCTCCTTAATTGTATTCATAAAAACTGTGAGATTTTATGCATCACGCTTCCTTTACTATTTACAATTAATCTTAGGAGGGCACTCTCTTTGTGAACCTTAGGGAGACCATAAGCAGTGGGGGCCCTTGCATCTCTCTGGAGTGGTGGATTCATTTTACACTTCTCTATTTCATCATTACTTACGCATACCTTAAGGGCATCTTTTAACCTAGTCTTAAGTCTTTCGGTTGGGTCTCTCAATAAAGGTCTATATGTGTCATTATCATTTAAATGTACCAGCATCTTTTCTACATCACTTGATTTAGCCATTACTACCACTGCTCCACTTTTGTCGGTATTTGTTATGATTATATTATTATTACGCAGATATCTAGAAATCTTTCTAATATACCAATCTTTATTAGGTGGTATTATATGGTCAAAATGAGGGATCACCTCCAGTTCAATACTATTCCTTATCTCTTCATGTAATCTACCAGATAAGTTAATTAATTCAACAAATATTTGCATAGAATTATTTACCTCATTTGGAAGAGCAAAATTTATTCCTCTTTCCAATAAAAGCACTACACTATCCTCCAGAGTTGTACTAGTGTTAACGTGAGACTTTTACAAGAATGACACCAAGCTCTAATGATGTCCATCATATGATGGACAAAAGATCAGCACGTTTTTACCCAAAACGATGAAGGAAGTCTCGTTGACTTTGCAAACATGAATATCGTATAAAAGCCCAACGGCTGCAGTACAACGAGTTTCATCCGCCCTCATCTCGTGAGATCGACCAACGAATCTCTTCTTCATTTACTTTAATCCAAAATGAAGGCCCCCCTAACAATGTTATCTCAGAAGATTCATCAAAACTAACTTTATCTTCGTATATACTGGCATACTATGTCATTTCTCTTCATATCCTACAAATATTTTAAAATACAATAGTAAAGCGTCATTTGGCTCAAAAATATAATAATTACAAGGAATTAATATTTTATGAGAATTATGAAAGCCCACTAGTAAATTTCCTTAAGTTGTCCGGTTATGGAAAATAGCAAGAATTTAAGGACAATATTTTCTCATGCAACAGTAATAGAGATAACGGTTCGAGAGCAAGATTTAGCATTCTGGTTAATCAATGAAAGTTTGAGAGAAGGGAAAAATTCAGGTTAAACCAAACTTTATAAAGTTACAAAGTAATATTCAATAGGTAATCTTTGTTGCAGACGCCCTATAAAAATTATATAAATGTAATAGTGACTCATTAAATAAAGTGAAAATAAAACAGACTTGACGGTTTGAAGGCTGAAGCTCGTAGGCCTCTCTAAGTAAACGATTTGCTTCCTCGTTCTCGTTCCTGCAGATGTGGACGAAGGCCCTAAGAATAATATTAAAACAAATAAAAATTTGGCACTATACGAGCGAAATCATTTTTCAAAATATATCTATAGAAATCCTCGTGAATCATAAGGATGAATAACTGAACTTAGGTATCTAAGGATGTAAAAGTGGAATAGTGATGATGAGGGATACTGTGAATATACCGAACAAGGAGAATTAATCAATTATGTTGATATATGCAAGGGTAAACAGAACTCTGAAGCGTTGCGTTGAGGGGTTTAATCTTTTTTAAGAGGAAAGAAAGCAGGTTTCTTCTTGTAAAGCTAAAGCAAATAGGTATCAGTTATCCCTATGGATAAACTGACACGCATAAAAATTCCGCTTTTCGTGTTTGAGTAGAGTTTCGAGGCTACCAGTTAATCAGTAATATGAGTTGTATTCACCCTATTTCGTTTAAGGTGATGAAGGACTGGTAGTAGAATTTTCCCACAATGATATGAGTTGAGCTGACGTTTCGTTGAATTTCACACTGACTTGCTCTGCAAAAAGTTGTTCTCATCCAGGGTGGACTGCAGTTTCGACCTCGCATCGGTCTTATCAACACCCCCAGCGGGAGTCGAACCGTGACAAATGCAGAATGGGAGCTTGACACGTTAACCACTCGACTACATTGCCACGAGTGCCTTTGAATTTCAAGGAAAGCCAGGCATTTTGCCATATCATATTCTTTGGTGGGATTGTCGATGAAGCAAACGTATATTTACTATAACACTCGACTACGTTACTTATTTTTTGTGTTTTAGTAGTTTCGAGACTACCAGTAAATCAGTAATATGAGATGTATCCACCCTCTTTCGTTTAAGGTGTGAAGGAATGGTAGCAGAAATAGGGTGAATACATCTCATATTACTGATATACTGTTAGTCTCGAAACTATACTCAAACACGAAAAATAAGTAACGTAGTCGAGTGTTACAGCAAATATACGTTTGCCTTATAGACAATCCCTCCAAAGAATATGATATGGCAAAATGCCTGTACTTACTTGAAATTCACATCTGCCCTGTGACCCAAGGGCACTCGTGGAAATGTGGCCGAGTGGTTAACGTGTCAAGCTCCCATTCTGCACTGTAACGGTTCGACTCCCGTTGAGGGTGTTGATAAGACTGATGCGAGGTCGAAACTGCCGTCCACTTCAGCCGGGATGAGAACAACTTTTGGGAAAGCAAAGCTGTGTGAAATTCAATGGAAACGTCAGCTCAACTCATATCATTTTGGGAAAATTCTACTACCAGTCCTTCATCACCTTAAACGAAATAGGGTCAATACATCTCCTATTATAGTAGTCTAGACATTATGGTATTTGTAGTCCGTCATTTGGACTACTAAGTATGGCCTAATTTAGAGCGTATTTTCAGTTTAAATGCGGAGGAAGTACAACTTTAAAACAAAGTCTTGATATGAGAAGATAGAAAAGACATCTTACTTTTGCATTAAATTTTGGGCTTGAACCACCGAATTGTTCTTGTCAAATGGGGCCAAAGATAAATCAAAATGTGACTGAGCCGTAACATGGTCGCCCATCTGAAAGTTAAACAGAATAGGAAAAGGCGGAAAGTATCTATAAAAAATCATTTGGTTCCGTTTGAGAATCATGAAAGGAAAAAGCCTAAGAGGTAGTCCTTAGCAAACACTCGACGTTCTTGGGAGTAAATTTTTGGAGAATAAATCTTTTAAAGTACGATTATGAGGATAATGATTCTCCTTCAGGTATTTAGAAATGGTCTGATTTCGTTTCCACAAGTTGGTCGTGGTATCAGGGCGACTTAGTTGGATTCACCTTGTTCGATATCCTCTGCCATGATAGTCATCATTATACCTAGCGTTGGACAGTAGATTTAGTACATTCCAAGACGTTTCGCCGACATCTTCATTGAGTCTTGAGATTCTCAGCACCAAACTACGAATCAAAGAGACAAGTGAAGTCAATCATTTGACCAACTTTCTGCCGAAATGGTTGATCTATCACTCCTTTTTCTACTCCCTACCTTCTTGTCTCACTCCTGCCCTATAACAACTTCTGACTTGTTTATATTCTATTCTAAAGAGGTAGCAGTTTTGGCGAGTTTAGTGCGTCGCAATCACACTTGCAGTTTGTCTTGCCCCTCTCCTCGATTGACTGATACGACTTGAGTCTCTTATGTGGATCTGTCTCATGGGCCCGTAGATCCGTTTCTCATCTTTCTGGTTGACAGATTTTACTCGGTTCCAATCCCAGTGTTTGTTTTACTCCGAGCGCTATTTTTCAAGTCTTCAGTAGCATGTACGATGTCGTTTACCATACGAGAGCACCTAAGCTCTGATTCCCCTGCTTCCAGGCAATGCCTCAACGGATCATCCTCTTCATCAAACCCGTTTAACTTGAGCAAACTGTGAACGTCAATTTCTAGTAGCACACTGCCTCTCGAATGGATTTCTATTCACTTTGGCCATAATAGGGAATTTCTAAGAGTTGTGATTATCCGTCTCCATAATCGCGTGAACGCCAGGCCCCTTAAAGTCGTAATTGTTTCCTCTAGCAGACTATACTTACTGAAAGCGTCTTCGTTTGATTTCAAAACTTCCCCACTCTTATTGCGATCCCTTTTTCATTGGTTGACAATAGGTCCTTGATTCGGACGCCTGCTTTTTTTGTCTTATCGTAGCCTCATTTAGACCAAGTCTGCATAAGCAATAAAAAGAGTTATCACTAACTCTTCCTTTTTCCGATATCCTGTTCATTACATTTCTTTCCGCAAGATTCACTGAAGATGCCGGCGAAATGTCTAGGAATGTACCAAGTCCACATGCCCAGCGGTGGGAATAATGACAACCATTATAGTAGAAGGCCTCAGACAAGATGCATCCAACTAGTTAGCCCTGGTAACACGACCAAGTTGCGAAAATTAGATTAGGCCACTTTTAATGCTTGTTGTCTAAACTATATTTGTTGGGCGTATAAGCCAAATCGAGCTTAGAAAAAATATAGAGAAGGTACATTAACATGATTTTCCTACAAAGATCATACATTCTGAACATTCGAGAAGTAAGAAATACTGGTAACAAAGATATGTTCAGGGATATCCATAGGATCATTCTAGCGAAATTTAATAATAAAGTGTAATATTCAAGTAGTAGTCATATATTTCTATCTTTGAAATTATGATCAGTTATTATAAATGAAAGGTTAAGAAAAATGGCAAATTTTGTTACGAGATGCTTAGACTCTGGTGATACCAATCACCACATAGCTGTTAGGTTATTCCCAAAATGGGGCAATCATTTTCGCTATATCTAGCTCTAACATTCCTAAACCTGTATTCGTATAATACTATGGGCAAGA